AAAAAAAAAAAAAAAAAAAGACTGGGAGCAGGTTGCACCTCCTAAAGGGTGGGGCCCCTAGTTCCCCCAAGAGCAGGGAAGTCAAGTGAATGTTCTGTTGATGGGCTCTATTCAGAGCGTTTGGGAGGCCTTTCAGGCCAAGTTGACCAAGGAGGAGGCCTGCTGGAAAAGTGGCAGAGAGGTAGGAATGAGCCTGGAGGACCAGGCTTAGGCTAGGGCGCTGTTCCGTAACTCACTAGCGGTGCAGTCTTGACCTCTGCTTTAGCCAGGGCTTTTCCCGCTGCAGGAGCTCAGACCCCACTCCAGTCAACTAAAGTAAAGGGGACTTTCACATAAGGATAGAGTGAAGCCCACGGGAGTCCAAAGACAGGCACGCAGGCCTGAGGGACTGAGTCCCTGGACTAGAAAACAGACACACTGAGGTAACTGTCTTCTGTTTCTCTCAGGAGCCTCACAACCATCTTATTTTACCTGTATGTCTAGAAAATTCTGTCCCTCAATTGGCAGCTTCCCAGTGTTTTCTCACCTCTGCTCCCAGCCTCTTCTGCTCTCAGGCCCTCCAGTCTGGGTGGGCATTTCAAACCGCCCGGGTGTCGCAACATCCCCATTCACAATTCCCGACAGAGAATCGAACTGGCTCCGCTCCCAGGCCAGCCTAAGGCAGGGGGTCCGTCCAGACCTGGTCCCACCAGCTGGGCGGGGCCTGGGCAGGGTGTCCGAGAGCCTCCGGCCTGGGCACCCGCATCCTAAAAGGAGACAGCCCGGCGGTCCCGCGGCGCACTGGCGCCCTCGCCCTCGCGCTCCATAGTCTCAAAGAGCAGCCGCACCAGCGCCAGCCGTCCCTGGGCCACCAGGGCCCGGGCCAGACCCAGCACCTCGTCCGTGTGCCCGCGCCACACGCGCTGCAGCTCCTGGCGCAGGCGCGCCGCAGGGTACTTGTCCTGGGCGCGGCGTAGCCAGGCGTCCACCTCGCGGCCCAGCTCGCCGTCGCTCAGCTGTGCCTGGCTCCACTGCGCCAGCAGCGCCTCGAGCAGGCAGCCGAAGCCCTCGGTGTGGCTGGAGCCCGCGTCGTCCAGCTCCACCGCGCGCTTGAAGCAGGCCGCCGCGTTGGCGTCCTCGCCCTTGATGCGCAGGCACTTGCCGCGCAGCAGCTGCAGCTCGGGCAGTGTGGCACCCAGCTCCGACTCGCCCGCCTTGGCCAGGAACACCAGCGCCTGGTTCAGCGCCGCCTCGTCCACCGCCAGCAGCTCCTGCACTGCGTCCACGCCCATGTAGTAGTAGACCTGGGGTGGGGGACACGCCCTTCACTGCAGGCCCGGCTCCATGCTCATTCCCGCCCCACGCTTGCTTAAAAAAATATTCCATTCCTTCACTCATTCCCACCCTCTCTCCATCGACAATTATTAATCACACGTTTTATTCCTGCTCCTCTAGGAAAAGAGTACCCCGATTCCAGTTCCAGCCCCTTCACATCTAGCCATGTAACCTGGAGTGAGTCAATCTCTGGATCTCGGTTTTCTTGTATCTAAAATTATGATATTGTCACTTCTTGGTGAACATTCCCTGAACACAGAGAATAGATATCTTCTAGATCAAGAATAATGCCCACACTTCCTGAGTGCTTAGGAAGAGCCAGGCCTTGTTCTAAATGCTGTACACACATCTTATTCAATCCTCACCATGGCTGGAGGAGATGGGTACTGTTATGAGGGAGTGCAACTTTTTCCTCTGCATCCTGGCCTAGCCCTGGCCTAGCCTGGCAAGGAGTAAACAGATTCTTGCTCAGCTATTGGCTAAGCCAAGAGACTGCCTTACCTGGCTGATGTCCAGGTACGCCTTGAAGCCTGGGCACACCCTGACCACTTCCTCTAGGTCAGCCTTGGCACAGGCCAGGTGGTTCCTGTCAGGCATGCCCCCGAGACCCATCTTGGCCCGCTCCAGGTCGTGCAGGTAGGCTCTGATGTGGATCTGCCAACAGAGAGCCAGCTTAGGAAAGATGATCCAGGCAAGGGCCTCTGCCCTGCTCTCTGTTCTAAATGAACCCAGTCTTTTTTTTTTTAACAGCAGCCAGGGAGGTTCTGTGTTGCAGCAGAAAGACCCTGAGGCTGGGACCCAGGAGTCCTAGGTCCTAGCCTTGGACCAACTTGGGCTAGCCACACCCTCTTTCTGGTCCTTAGTTTCCCTGTCTGTGCAATGAGTGAATGAGTTTCCCTCTCTGTGCAATGAGTGATGAAGTAAGAGTCCCTTACTCATTCAACAGATATGTATTGAGAGCCCACTATGTGCCAGTTCCTATGCTGGGTACAGGAGGTACCGTGGTAACAAGATAGATGAGGTTCCCGCTCTGGCGGAACTTAACATTCCAGTAGGGGAGGCGGTCAATAGTAAACAGTACTATTTCAAGTGGTAAGTGCTATGACAAAATAAACATGACAATGGGATAGAGATGATTGGGGAGGATTATTTTAGGTAGGATGGCAGCACCAATTTTGGGATAGTTTATGTCAACAAGCAGTTTGGGAAGAATGGCAGGTAGCCCCAACTGACAAGCATCACATTACAAATGATCTCAGACCCTTGTTTTCCTTAATTCCTCCATTTTCCTCACACTTAAGAGCATTTACAAAGTTTGGAGGTTTAGGAGGGGTGGGTTTGGGTTGGGTGGGAGGAAGCGAGGGAAAGGGGGCTATTGTTGTTGAAGGTATTAATGCTTTATAGTCATCAGAAGGGCTTTGGTTATAAGACAGCATCATGGAGGCAGGGGGAGATGAATCTCTGGCTTTCAGGTCAGTTGGACTAGGGTTTGAATTTCAGTCCTTCCCTCAACCCCTAGCTATTAGCCATGTCATCTGGAGGGAGTTCCACAACTCTATGAACCTGAACCTCATTTCTATATCTGAAAAATTAGTTCATGAATATCTTCCTGGGGGAATTACCATGATGTCTGAAAGAACATATTCTAGTCAGGAGCTAGCATATGGAAGGTGCTCAGTTCATTCATTCGTTCAGCAAATATTCATTAAGAGCCTCCTCTGTGCCAGCCACTGTTCCAGGCATTGAGAATGCAGTAGACAACAAAACCACAAAAATCCCTGCCCTCAAGTAGCTTATATGTTTTGGGGGAGAGAGAAAATAAACATGATAAAGATGTAAATAGTGTGTAGGGGAGTGATTAATGCTAAGAAAACTAAACCAGGAAAGGAAAACATAAAACGTTGGCGGTGGCGAGGTGTGGTGGCTCACACCTATAATCCCAGCACTTTGGGAGGCTGTGACTGGAGGATTGCTTGAGCCCAGGAATTTGAAAACAGCTTGGGCAACATAGGCAGAACCCTGTGTCTACAACAAATAGTTTTTAAAAAATTAGCTGGGCGGGTGTGGTGGTGCACACCTGTGGTCCCAGCTACTTGGGAGGCTGAGGTGGGAGGATCACTTGATCCCAGGAGTTCAAGGCTGCAGTGAGCCATGATCACGCCACTGCACTCCAGCCTGGGTGACAGAGTGAGACCCTATCTCTAGAAGAATTTTAAAAATAAATAAATTAATATATTTATATAAATATATATAAATAATATAAATATATATATAAAATTAAATGTTGCATGGCTTTGATATTTTCAATTAGATGGCCACTAGAAGACCTGTAGGAAGTGAGGGAGGAAGCCAATCAGATATCTGGGAGAAGAGCATTCCAGGCAGAGGCCCTGGCAGTAGGGTTGGAAGACTGAGAGGCATGAACAGAGGGAGGTGGGGTAGAGAGCTCATGGGGCCAGGGCCATGCTTATGGGCCACAGCATGGACTGAGGCTTTTACACAGATAATGTGAGTTCCCTCCTCCTCACCGTCTCTTCTCCACCATCCTGTGCTCCTCTGGTCATCTGAGTGACCTTTGGCACCACAGAGAGGCCAGGATCATAAGACACCAGATGGTGATGGAGGAAGGAGAGTAAAATTGGAGTTTCTGATTATTGAATGCAGTTCTTTGGGGAAGTTCCCTGCCTCCCTGGTTATATGTGGCCTCATATGTAGGATGGCACATGTCTGGCCTCTCTCACAGGATTCTTGTGAGCATTAAATCAGATCACGAATATGAAAGTGCTTGATGAAATGCAGAATTTTATAGAAATATTTTATTATTTACTATTATGGTTAATATTATTATCTATAATAATAACCACATCCATGACAGTGAAGGAATTTCACTCCTGCCTCGTACCTGCTGGCAAAGTAATTAAGCCACTGAGACCAAGACTGGGAGAGGATTTGCCACTAGGTCATGTGGATGGTAGTGGAGAAGATGAGGGGATGGGGGGACTCTTCGGCTTGCAGTGAAGTAAACTTGGAGCTCCGAGTCTGCTTCCTCAAGCACATGGGCTCTGTGTGGGCTCTAGGGGGCGGGTCTGGGACCGGTGCAGGAAGCTAGCGGGAGACAGCACTCAACTAAGTGTGTAACTTGTAGACCTAAATGACTATGCAGTGGACTGCCTCAAGAGACAGTGAGATAATTCAAAAATATGCCTAATATTAAATTAGTAGCAGTCAGTCTCTTATGAAATCTTAGTGTGTGCTTGATGCTGAGTTTTACATACAAAATCTAATGTAATTCTCATAACAACTCTATGAGACATATTATCATCTACAGATAAAGAAACTGAGGCTCAAAATCTGGGCAAGAGTATTTTGCCAAAGGTCCCATAGCACGTGGTGTTGTGGGATTTGAACCAAGGCTGTCTGTGTTCAGAGCCAGAGCTCTGATCCACTATATTAAATGACCTCTACTGGCTTTCAGAGAAGCACCTCCTATGTCCAAGGCACTGTGCTTTAGATGCTACCTCACTGCGTCTGTTGACAACATTTTAAGGAAAGTGTTCTTATTTATATCTTACAGATTTGGGAACTGAGATTTGGCGGGGTGGTAAGTGGCTTGCCACAAGTTCCACAAGGTAGAGAAGCCAGATTTCAACTCTGGTCAGTCTGATTCCACCTGTGCCAATCCAGAAGAGGCTGGGGGCTCACTGACCAGGCATTGTAGAAGGGATTCCTGCAGTGAGTGGAGGCTTCTGCATTCTTTCACTCAAAAACCTTACAGGGCTGGGTGTAGTGGCTCACACCTGGAATCCCAGCACTTTGGGAGGTCAAGGTGGGAGGACTGCTTGAGCCCAGGAGTTTGAGATCAGCCTGGGCAACATATGAGACCTCATCTCTACGAAACAAAACAAAAATTAGCTGGGTGCGGTGGTGTGCACCTGTAGTCCCAGCTACTTGGGAGGCTGAGGTGGGAGGATTGCTTGAGCTTAGGAGGTCTAGGCTGCAGTGAGCCATGGTGGCACCACCATACTCCAGTTGGGTGACAGAGTGAGACCCTGTCTCAAAACAAACAAAAAGCTGTATAGAACCCAACTGTGTTTTTTGATGGCTCCTAAGCTCCCTTCCACCATGAGGACTCCCTGACCCTTGGGCCCTGGCAACAGGGTCTTGGCCTATGGCCCTTGTTCTCTGATTCCCAGTGGCAGGGTGAGGTGGCGCAGGAAGTTGACCCACCTTGGCCCTTGTGCAGTACGCCTGCCAGTTGAGCTCTGGATCTTGTAGGACATCCAGGGCCATGTTACAAGTTCCAATGGCCATATCCTGCTTTCCTAGGAAGTAGAAGATTTTGGCCAGGCGATTCAGGATGGGAGGCTGGTTCTTGGCGATCTCAATGGCCTAGGTAAGGGAGGAGTGCAAAAGCAAACCACTTGCTTGGTCGTTAGCCAGAGCTGGCTAAACAGTGCTGAACCACAGGAACCCCATTTCTGGATACATCCATATCAACACGGTGCCCTTTACCCATATCCACCCTTATCCACCTGCCAGTAAGTTGTCATATCATAGAACCCAACACCTTGGGGCACAACCCATTGGCACTCAACTCCTGAGAGCCTGGCCCATGACCACATCACCTGTCACATCCAATAAAGCCTTCTAGACCCCAGTCAGACCCCTCCTTCCCAGTGTATGCTCCCCCATCTTCCCGGGGCAGGTGAGAGGAAGGGCCAGAGGCAACCCTCATCCCCCAACCTTACAAAGTATAGGGTTTTTACCTGGGTGATAGCACTTACCCCCACTATTGTCATTGACTGCTTCCTGTTGTAAGTGACTTACCTTAGGGTCACACAGCCTATGGGCAGGACTGGCAAGGAGACCCCAGCTAAACTCGTCATTCTACTATGCCACTGGGGGTGGGGAGGTAGGGAACTCCTGGCAGAGGGAGTACTGTGAATGGAGGCCTCAAGGGAAAAAGTCTAAGGGTCTGTTTCAAGGCTGGAGAAATGGGCTGGGGCCAGATTTGGTATGGGGAGGGTCTCTTTTGTTTTGAATGAAGAGAGGATGGAGAGCAAGGTCTGGAGTAAGTGTACTTCCTGGGTGGACCACGCAGTGGGGACTGATACCCAGAGAAGCCTGGGTTCTGGGTGGAGAGGCTGGGGTGCCAGGCTCCTTCTCAGTTTAGAGGGTGGGTGTGGCTGGGGGCACGTACCTTGCCGAAGCAGTCCAGAGGGTCGGTCCCCGAGTACCCGCAGTCATGGACGCCCATGGGGGTGGTGGAGAAGGTGTCATTCCGCTCCAGCAGCATCCCGAGGTAGCACCAGGCCAGGGCTGGGGGTGAAGGGTGGGAGAGGGTCTCTAGGAAGCAGCAGGGTGGAGAGAGGGAAGGGGCCATCTCCATCTTAGGTGTTGCCCGTGAAGACAAAGCAACGGACAGTAGCGTGAGATCACTGAGGGCAACTTGCCAGGGACAGAGAGAAGCAAAGGTGGAGAGAGGGGCCGTGTGAGGGGTTAGTGAACTCGTTTTAATGCTTATTCTGTGTTCAGTGTGTCATCGGGGGGAACTCATTTCAGGTATGTAGGTCTCTTCTGACTTCAGCTCTCACCAGCTCTGGTGGTTCTAGTCCCTGTTCTTGCTCTCTGGCCCTGCAAAAAAATGACTCAACTCCTCTTCAACGGAGGCTTCAATCTTCTGACAATAAATAATTGGAAACAGGGGAAACTACCTCTCACCCTCCAGGTCACGAGCTGCAGACGGGGAAGCCTGCAGTCACAGTGACTTGTAGTTGGCATGTTCACTTGGGCAAGGTATGTGGGCTCCTTGAGGTGCACAGATGAGTGTAGGGGACAGAGCGAAGGAGGAAGAAACAGGAGCCAAGACGGGGAGGCAGTGCCAGAGGTGGGTGCAATGCCAGCAGGCTGGTGGCGGGGGACAGAGGCTGCTGTCCCACTCATCCCCTGGGCCCCTACCTTGGTGGCGGGGGTCCTCAGACTTGAGCACTTGCCGGAGCAGAGCCAACGTGCGGTTGAAGGCGGGCAGCCTCTTCTGCTCCTCACTGCCCAGCTCCAGGAAGATACCATCTAGCCTGTGGCCAAGAAGGAGATGTGGTTGGGTGGCACCCCCTCCCAGCTGTCCTGTGTGCTGCCAGCCCTGCCCAGGCCCGTGGTGGTGGTGGTGGGGTTTGGGGAATCCTTTCCAGCAGGATGGACCCAGCCACCTTTGCCCTTACCCTGCTGGCTGGGTACCAGGCCACACCTCTCCCTCCACCATCCCGTACCCCTGCCACCTTCTTGCCTGACCTGATGTAGAGTGTTGCCATGGTGAAATACCAGCCCCTTTTCTCCTCCGTCGGGATCTAGGAAAACAGAGAACAGCCCTCGCTGCCATTACTGAGGTACTCTGGCCGTTGTTCATAAACTCCCACACTTGCTGAACCCCAAGAAGCAGCAGGCACAGTGGGAAGGGCTTTGACCTTAAACACCCTTGATTACAGTCCTGGCTCTGCCCGTGACTGGCTGGGTGGCCTTGGGCAAGTCACTTCACTTCTCTGACTACAGAGGCTTTGTGAGGGCCCCCAGTGAGGTGCCTATCCTAGAGCAGGTGTGGTAAGCATTTCCTCCCACACCCTCCACAGGCTCCCCAACCCCAGGGCGCATACCCCACTGCTCACCCTCTCCTCCACGCCCACCTGCTTCTCCCTTTGGTGCCATCCCTGCAGTCTTTACCTTCCTGAGAAAGCCCCTTTGGGCATGTTAAGTGAGCCCAGCTCAGCTGAAGCCCAAGACCCCCCTGAACTGTTTTGCCATTATTATTCCTGCCAACCTTGCTGTGCGACTTGGGCACCAGATAAAATATTTATGCTGTTATTTATGGGAGTAGCTGCTCCGGCTTCAGGAAGGAATTTTAATGAAAACCAATAAAACCCCCAGTGCATATCAGCAGCTCTCCCTCAGGCTCCAGCCCCTCCCTCCACATTCATCTCTCGTCCCTGATCTGGAGGCTTCACTCTGCACTCGCCACCCCCACTGTGGCCTCCTCAGCTGTGGGGGAGGGGGGTCCATCTTCTCTCTACCCCCATCCCCAGCAGCTGGGGTGAATGCATTTGTCAGCACCTATGGCATAAGGCCCTGCGTTGGGTGCTCTGGGAATGTGGCACTGAATGGGACCTGCACCCTCACCCGAACGCACTCACAACCTGGCAGCAGAAGCAGACCCAGGCTTCAATAATAGGATGCGGCTCAGTGCCTGCATGTGCCAGGATCCTGACACCCATCTTCTCCATCTCACAACAAACCTATCAAGTAGCTGTTATCCCCATTTTATAGAGGAACATATTGAAGCTCAGAGAGATAAAGTGATTTGCCTAAGGTCACACAGCTTTTGAGTGCCAGAGCTGGGATCCGGTCCCCGTTTATCAGCTTCCAAAGCCCATGCTTGCTTCCCCACACCGGGTTGCCAGTAGCTGTGTTATGAAGCTAGGTCTGATCGAGGCCATGAGAGTGGTACAGAGGGAGTGCGGGGGATGGACGGGCCACTCCCAGTTGGGGGATGAGGGCTTAAGGAGGGTCTTGGGTCACATTGGCACTTCAGAGGGTGGGCTCCAGATGGAGAGCTCCCATGAGCAGAGGCCTGGAGACGTTAGGGATGGGGAGCTGATGGGTGTGCAGCACAGAGTGTGTGAATGGGGACCCGGGGGGGCCAATGCTAGCAGGTTAGGCTGTGGCTGCTCCGGGGACACCTTGGATGAATTTGGAGGGAGGAAGAAAGCGAGGGGTCCTTATGAGTCAGATCCCACCAACTGGTATGACTGCCCTTCAGGACAGGGTCTGGAACCCAGGTCCCAGTCAGACCACCCAGAAGGGGTCCCACTAATTGCATTTCTCAGTCAATATTCCTGAGTAGCTTCTCTGTGTGGCTCTCGGCTGGGCAATAAAGACAGGAGACAGAAGGCAGGTCCCACATTTAGGGACTCTGGGTCCTGCAGGAAAGCCAGACCCAAAGACACAATTAGAGTAGAAGGAACACGGGGGCTATGGGAGCCCGGGGAGGTATCCTATACAATCCAAGGACTTCCCCATGGTTTTCCAGAGGAGGAGGTACTAGGGCAGGGTCCTCAAGGACAAGTAGGAATCACTCAGGTGGATACAGTGAGAAAAGGCAATCTAGGAGGATGGGACATCAAGTGCAAAAGCTCAGAGAAGAGCTAGCCAGGTGTGCTGGAGTCTGCCTGCAGCCCAAGGACTGGAACCCTGATAGTAAGGGGTGAAGGGAAGAGCCAGCAGGGGCATAATCAGGAGGGGCTTCTGAGTGCCAGGGTCAGGACTTGGAGCTCATCTGCAAGGTAGTGGGGAGCTATAGAAGGAGAGAGAGCTGGGGGGTTGGGCACAGTGGCTCATGCCTATAATCCCAGCACTTTGGGAAGCTGAGGCAGGAGGATCTCTGGAGCCCAGCAGCAGTTCAAGACCAGCCTGTGCAACATAGTGAGACCCTGTCTCCTCAAAAATCAAAATCAAAATAGCCAGGCACAGTGGTGCACATTTATAGTCACAGGTGCTCTAAAGCCTGAGATGGGAGGATTGCTTGAGCCCAGGAGTTTAAGGCTGCAGTGAGCTATGATAGCACCTCTGCACTCCAGTCTGGGCAAAAAAGTGAGACCTTGTCTAAAAAAAAAAAAAAAAAAAAAAAAAAAAAAAGAGGCTAGAGCTCAGGAATGCCAAAATCTGATTGATGTGTGCTTTTACATTTGTATCACCTTGAAAGGTAATACTGTTACTTAGGTGGGAATAAGCAAAAAGGCAGGGACAGGACTCTGGATACCCTTATCTGCTTTACTTACACTGGACCTGGGAAGGAAGAAGGAGACTGGGATTTATGGAGCACCTAGTGTGGGCCAAATTGGCATGATGTGTCAAAACCTGACCATGCGAAGGATCAGGGGCATGTGGTGCCTCAGGCTTCCTGGCTTCTTCTGCTTCTGCTTCTGCTTCTGCTTCTTCTGCTTCTGCTTCTTCTTCTTCTGCTGCTTCTGCTTTTCCTTCTGCTTCTGCTTCTGCTTCTGCTTCTGCTGCTGCTGCTTCTTCTCCTTCTCCTTCTCCTTCTCCTTCTTCTTCTTCTTCTCCTCCTCCTCCTTCTTCTTCTTCTTTTGAGATGGAGTCTTGCTCTGTCACCCAGGCTGGAGTGCAGTGACGTAATCTCGGCTCACTGCAACATCTGCCTCCTGAGTTCAAGCTATTCTGCCTCAGCCTCCCGAGTAGCTGGGATTACAGGTGCCTGCCACCACACCCGACTAGTTTTTGTATTTTTAGTAGAGATAGGGTTTCGCTATGTTGGCCAGGCTGGTCTCCAATTCCTGACCTCAAGTGATCTGCCCGCCTTGGCCTCCCAAAGTGCTGGGATTACAGGCGTGAACCACCGTGCCCGGCCCCCTGGCTGCTTCTATGTGAGTGATCCCATGACCTCTGGTCCCTCACCTGCTTTGTGGTTGGCTCAACTGAGTGATGGTGGGGAGAAAGAGAACCCACTCTCCCTTCCTTGCTCCTGGCGAGGGAGCCTAGCATCCAGCAAGAACAGGTGTAGTAGACTTGGGGGGTGGGAATGTGAAGAGCTGAGGCTCGTGTGCCTGGCAGGCCTGGTCATATGAGATGGGCGACCTTGGGGGATGAGTTACCCCTGGCAGGTTATGTCCTTATCTGCAAAGGAGGATAATCATATGGGCTTCTCAGGAGTTGTGAGGGCAGTGCCTGGCCCAGAGTAGATGTCTGTTCCCTTCCTCCTGGTCTGGGTAGAGCTGAGAACTGAGTGGGGTTAGGGTTCTCTAGGAGGTTGCTTTGTCTGCTGTGGCATGTTTCAGTGCCCGATGAGGCAACATGGTCTTTGGCCCTGGAATCTGGAGCCATCCTGGGGCACCCTGCTGTCCTCTCCCCACTATGCTCCCAGGACCTCAGGATCTCCAGTCCCCTACTGGCTCCCAGGCACCTTTCTTGCCTCCACAGGTCCCCAGTGTTGGAGACTAATGTGTTGTCCTCAGGGCTTTCCCAGCCACTCTCTTGCTTGGTATTCAAGTGGCAAGAAATTAAATTATATGTCCAAACCACACTTAGTACGTGATAGAGCTGGGGCTTAGACTCATGCCTCCATGATTCTATTCCTAAGCCTTGTCCAAAACACTCAGTTATCCTGATCAGTCTCCTTACTAGATATCCGAGGACACCGAGAAGAGAGAGGCGAGGTGGTTTACCTAAGGTTCCACACTAGTTAGCATCAGAGCTTACAATCCAGTGGTTTCACCACCACTCTGCGCGCTGTTGAGTATTACTGATTAATTCAAGAGACTGGTTACGGTTTTCACTAAGCAAGCAATACCACCACCTGGTGGCAGTATGCCTGAATTGCAGGGGCAACTCCTAAGGGTCAACTCTCCTCCCCTTCAACTTGATGACTAAAATTGATTTTCAAAAAAGTAGCTAGTTGGGTGACATCTGTGTGACAAATCCCTAAAGTAGTCCCTCATCAGATCCAGCTTAAGAGCCGCATTTGCAGGAGGGCTTGTGGGGTTGCAGATGGGGTCAGTGGATATGGAACAGAGTTAATACAATACACAGATCTAGTCAGAAGCCTCACTGTGCCTGGGCTTTACTCCTCTATCCCTGTGGTGAAGCTGGTGTTAGATGTTCACTCTGTGCTGCAATTCTGGCTCTAAAATAGACTATCTGTCTCCCTCTCTTTTTTTTTTTTAGACGGAGTTTCACTCTTGTTGCCCAGGCTAGAGGCCAATGGCGCAATCTTGGCTCACCACAACCTCCACCTCCAGGTTTAAGCCATTCTCCTGCCTCAGCCTCCCAAGTAGCTGGGATTACAGGCATGTGCCACCATGCCCAGCTAATTTTGTATTTTTAGTAGAGACGGGGTTTCTCCATGTTGGTAAGGCCAGTCTTGAACCCCCAACCTCAGGTGATCTGCCCGCCTCGGCCTCCCAAACTGCTGGATTACAGGTTTGAGCCACTGTGTTCGGCCTTGGACTGTCTCTTTAAAAATCCTTCTGGTTGTAACTTAAGCAGTAACTGAAGCAGCCGCTGAAGCTGTTACCAGGGGCAACCTGGCAAGCCATAGTGCGTTAAATTAAATTAAGCAGGCTTGTGACTGCCCCCTCCCCTCTTGGAGAAGGGAGGGGGCATTCCACCTCTATCCTGGAGAATAAAGTTGCTGTGAAACCTCTTATGGCTGCAAGGAATTCAGTTACAGAGTTTACGACTCCCAGAGGCAAGGTGTTTGGAGGCAGCCTGGGAGGGGGCTCACAGGACTTCCGCCAAAAGAGGAGTATTTACGGTGAACCTGCCTGGGGTAGGTGGCCTCCGG